GGCAGTTTTGTTTGAAGTGGTAATTAAATAAGAAGCAGTATATTGGGAGGCAGAGCTGCCAAGTACCTAAGAAGGGAGTGGAAATTTTAATCTTTTCATGGTCTTTTGCCACCATTTGCTTAGGAAAGTCGAAGGCATGGGATATCTACCATAGGGAAGGAAGTTCTAAACAAAGTGTTCGTTTTCATCTAAGCTCTGATTTGCAGCCCATTACAAAAAGTACAAACCTCAAAAGCCACTCTGACTTCAGTTCCCAGTGAAGTTGACATTTGACTATTTTTGGTTTCCACTTTCTTTGACAGCTCAGCATCAGTCCCACCTCCACCTCACACAATTTTAAGATCGTGTTCAATAAGCAGAACAAGTATAAACATGGTTTTCTACTCCGGTTATCCTGGGAGAGAGAGGAAGGGAGGAAAAAAGGCACAACAGCCTGCTCAGTGCAGTTATAATAAGACAGATCACTTTTCTTTAAATTTGGAGTGTTGCCTTACTTTGAAATTCTTTACTCTCTGGTCAGTTCTGGCTAGTTTGGAGTCCATTCCTTTAATTTTTCTCTTCCCAGCCTACATTCCCCTCCCTCCACAAGCACTGCTGGCACTGCTCCCTCCTGTTTCTCCCTTGCCTACGCTCTCAGAGTATCGTTGGCTTCATGCCTTAATCAGCCAGGATAGCGTCATGAATACTGCATACTGTTCAAATGTGCATGTCTGATGTGCAAAGTTCTAAAGTAAATGCTTCTGTAGATAGAAACTGTGTGGGGAATATCACAAACCAGAGTCAAGAAAATGGCAGTGTTTTCTAAAGAGAGAAAACACATTGAAAATAGTCATTTGTGAATGACATATATGCCTAGTGAGTGAATCATATGCAGTGTTCTAAAAACTAGGGTTTATCATAAAAATCATGTAAAATAGGGACCTCACATTTATCTGTTTAACCCCCGTCTCCAGGGCAGTTCAGCTGTACCTCGAACATTACTACCGATGTTTATCTAACCTTTTCAAAGAGATTGCCATTATGGAAATTGAGCAATATCCCTAAGCAGCATATTTAATTCACTGGTGGTTCCTTATACCACTGAATGTGGAGGACATTTTAGTTCTTCGTCTTTATAACAACACTTCATATACGTGTTACATGTTAACTGACTTCTCAGTCTCTTCCTCAGATGGGGCACCTTTCATTCTTTCAGTGTTTGCTCGAAGAGCCTTCTGTCCAGACATTGCTCATCGTTGCCTTCTTGCCTCTAAATTCTAAGCAGTGTACAGAGAGTGGATTTGTTGAAGTGTAGAGTCCTAAACTGAACAAACCACTTCAGAGGAGGCTTTGTTAGCTCTTAGCGCCATAGTGTTTGGAGGGATTATTTTCTTCTCCCAGCAGTGTGACAGTGTTGATTGATGCTTGATTTCTGAGGCGTTTTAACCCCTTAGGTTGTCTTCTGTCTCCCAGCTGGTTATTTTGCATTCAGTATTTGTGCAGTTGATTGTTATGACCTTCAGCTGGCTGACAAGATCTGAAGTATAACACTTAGTGTTTGTCTTTACTGAGGCACATCCTATTTATTTCAGAACACTTTTCCATTTTCTTAGGGTTGTTTGGGATTCTAATCCTGTTCTCCAGCGGTTTTTGCCCTTTGCAGCTTCATGTAGTCTGCAAATGCAGCAAGTGTATTACATCACCCAAGGCACTGATGAAATAACTGTATGTTGCAAGTCTCAGACAACAAGCTGGTGATAGCTGTCCTTCAGATAGTTTTTCAACTAGGAATGTGCCTGCTTTATATTTCTCATATTCCCTTTGGTTCACTATGAAAGTGTTGCATGAGGTAGGTCAGGGCATCATTGGTAGGTTTTCTAGTAATGTCATAGGGATTTGAATTCATGTCATTTGTTTTGACTGCTACTGATCACTTTGCTGTCTTCCCCATGTCTGTAGATTAAATCTCTGTTGTTCTTTAAACTTGTCAGCAAATACAGGTAGGTGTACTGAAATCTGATTCTCTATTCTTCATTTCCTGTTCTGTGTATCTGCCTCTTTCCAGTCTTTAAGTATCTTTTTGTCTTCCACAAGTTCTTGAAAACTTTTATTGAAAACTTTTCTTGCCTACAAGGTTGTTGTCATTGCTTATATCATGCTGACACTTTCTACTTGGGCTTCCTTGTAATTATTAGCTTGTAGGTGTCAATGTGCAAGAAAATGTCAACCTTTCAATTAATATACTCTTTTTAATTACTATTACTGCCCCCTCTTGTTTGGCAAAGCTGTTCTTTGATAGCTTTTTGAGATGAAGGCTGTTCTTTTCACCTGTTTGTGATGTGCTTTTCTATTTTATTCTGGAGTCTTGGGGCGAGGTTTTGACCTAACTTCAGTGACTCGGTATTTTTGGCTGTCAGGAGATGTGATCTTCAGCTAGAATAAGCCAAGAGCATTTAAATTGGCTCAAGGTAAATCATCCTCACTGTGCCCCAGGCCACATTTAGGAGGTGAAGCCATCTTTGCTTTTACCCTTTAAGGCAAGCTCAGCAGATACCTGGCTCATCTGGGAAATGAGCTCACTGAGTTTACATGAAATACTTCATTGACTTAACTTTTCCCTCCTTCGAATATAGTACTTCTTTAAAGTGTCTTTAAAGTGATCTTTCTTCCCTTTTACCGCACACTATAGGGTGAAAACCTTGCCCCACTGAATTCAGTATGAGCTTCAGTTAGGTCAGAAATTTTACCCTTGAATTTAAAGTATGGTTGTATTGTGCAAGCCTTAAGTAATGTGTTTCATTTTGCTAAGCTCACTTTTTTCTTTCTAACCACTCTTCAGTCAAAACTAAGTAGAGAATAAGGAGAGCATATAATCTTGATTTTTTTTTTTTTTTTTTTTTTTTTTTTTTGTACAGGCAGAAACAATATTATAAGAATTTATGTTTTCAGAACAAGACCAAATCCTCTGCAGTCTATTTCATTACATGTTAAATAAATCTGGATAAAGAATGGATATGTGTCTCAGTGAACAATCCCAAGACGTCCGAGTTGAGTTGATGACCCTGACATTGGCATTACCTATCATCTTTCCACCTGTAAAGTGACGATAATGATACCAATATTTCTTTAAAGCCCTTGGAGATCTTTGTCTAAGAACTTTTGGCTATATTCTGTAAGTGACACTTCTTTACTTTCCAGAAACCTTCTCAGGCCTCCATTAAAAAAATAAATGTGTTCAGCTTTTTGCACTGGCACTTAGAGACCTCAATGTCACTAGACCTGTGAGATCTCTTCCAAAAATTAGTCCTTTTGCAGCCCTTCGTCTTCCTGCTGAGCTAGAGAAGCTCGATATTTTTTGCCTCCCAGCAGAAACATCTACCAGTATTGATGCTTCCAGGGAGTGGGTGTGACAGTTGTCTTGCACTTAGAAAGTAAAGCATGTATAGGATTCTCTTAATAGAGTGGTTGTTTTGGAGTCCCAGTAGAAAGCCAAGTGCCTTTTAGAATATATTTAAATTAATGAGGGATTAATGGATGTTGGTGATTAACAATAGCAGAGAGCTGTTCTTAATGACATAGAATGGTGGTCCTGAAGGGAACAGGTCTGACTGCGCCATTACATGAGAAACAATGAAAACAGTAACCAAATTTGCTTGAAGATAAAAAAATTCTGTGTTTGTAGGAGAGAAAACTCAACTGAGAAACCTTACTATGTTGTGACAGCTTCTGGACTATCAGAGTGAGGATTTTCTAATTATCAAGAGGGTTTTATTTGGAGAGATTTTCTGGTAACAACTGAGGATTTTAAATGAGAAAAGTAGCTGTTACATAATATTTAGCCCTGAAACATCCAGAGGTTTTTTGTGTAACTCCCTTGGCATGGAGTCAAGTAAGGATAAAGTACTTATGTTTCTGTGTTTCTTAAAATTACTTTTTCAACACATTGAATGGGTCTGGAGTCTCAGGGGAGCAGTCTAGGCCAGACTGACAGTAGAGTTGCATCATAGGCTGCCATCCCAACGGAAATGGGAAAAAGGAGACAACTTCCATTAGAGGCTACCGCTGAGATTTCAGCCCCATGTCTGAAGTTCTGTTTGTCTTCCAAAGAGTAATTGCACATCACTAGAACATGTCCCACTTTGCTGCATGGTAGAAGTAGTCGATATGGACTTGGTGGGGGAAGGAAAGAGAATTGCATACTGCAAGTGGGAAAAACTCTAGACCCATATTCCTATCTCATGCAATACTCTCTGTGAGATACTTCCTTGTGGAGGACTTTAAGAAACATGTATGCTTCTATTCTCAGTGATTTACAGCCTTGTAAGTTTTCCAAGTTTCTAATCTATATTGCTATTCTGTTATTTTTTTCTGATGCACTTTTAAAGTCAAGGTTTTTCAAACTTTAGCTGCTGATTTTGAGAAACCATTCCATTCCCTTGTAATTTTTACTATGAAACATTTTCATCTCAGTTGTCTGATTTTTTTTTTTTTTTCTTGATTTCTTCTTGTTATGCTTAGATCATTGTCATTATTTTAATCCACAAAATTCCCAGCTTCACATCTGCAAATACATGTAGATTTTATGTAATCTAGTTTTATGTCCTTTTCCTTTTAGGTCTCTTGGGCTCGTTGGATGTCTGCCCTGTGAATCTTTGTATTGTTTTCCCACATTAAGATGCTTAGCCCTGAATATATAGTCCTAAAATGATCCGTTACCTCTTCCTTTATTTACATCTTCCACTTATGCCTCTCCTTGCGCAGCCTAATCTCTTATTTGTTAATTTGTTTGCCAAATTTGTGTTTCACAAGTACCTTTCCCAGGTAATTTCTGAAAGTTTTTTACCCTGCTCTGGTGCCAAAATGCAAGTTAGCTCATTTAAACTCTTAAGACATTAGCACAGAGAAATGATTGAAACATTTATTGTGTAGCAGAAAGCTTTTAGATTAACGATTGTTCAATTCAAACATGATTGCAGGGAAAAGAAGGAGGGAAGAGAAGAATATCTGGGTAATCCCTGCACCTGAGGAAAATATATGGCAGCCTGTGACTGCTGTAATGAGCCCTTGGGGGCACTAGCAGTTGGCATCTTTCAGCTGCTCTGCCTTGTGCTGGAAGGCTGGACCACCACGAAGCAGCTCCAAGGTGGGTAGCAGAGTGCAAAGGCTAATTTAAAACTACAGCTGCATTTTGCTCCTTGTCTTTGCCAAGTATTCTGTGGTGAGAGCTAACGATTGCTACTGCTGCCCCACCGAGTGTTCCTTTTTAGGAGGGTGTAGGCCTCAGCTCAAGGGCATGCACTTCATGCAGCCCTTTATAACTGTACGAGCACTTCTAGCATTATACAACTTATGTTCGCTTTGCTCTTTTTGTACAAGCATGAACGATCCTGCAGAATACAAGATGACAGAGAAACGCGGCTGCTTTCATTTGCTTAAGTTTTTCAAGACGTAACCTTTTATCTCTAGTTGAGTTTGCTGCCTCCCTAAAGCCTGGTGTGGCATTTATCTTTTCTCTTAGGCATTCAGGATGTTTTCCCAGTCTGCATTTCCTTGGCCTGTTCCTCATAGCATTTTCCAATGAGAGCATCAGTGAGATATATAAAGGGGGCTTATAAGAAAGGGAGAGACTTTTTACCAAGGCCTGTGGTGACAGGTCCAGAGACAATGGTTTTAACTGAGAGTAGATTTAGATTGGACACAAGGAAGAAGTTTTTTTATGATGCGGGGGCTGAGACACTGGAACAGGTTGCACAGAGAACTTGTGGATGCCCCTTCATTTGAAGTGTTCAAGTCCCTGCTTATCACAGGAGGATTGGACTAGATGATACTTAAAGGTCCCCTCAAACCCAAACTCTTCTGTGATTCAGTCCTGAAAATAATCTGAGCTATTTGACAGGTATTTGGATGTTGGAATTGATGTCTGTTCTTTGTTTACCGGTATAATGTTTAATATCCGGTGCTAGTTACCTGAATTCAGTTCTTCCTTCTTTTTCTCAGCCCAGCAAGACTTTGGCTGAAACTGTTTTCTTTCTGGGTACTAATGCTTGATTCAGCTGTAGAGGTTCTCTCTGTCTCTCTTGTCAGCCTAGGAGGATGCTTTCAGGAAAGTGCTCATGGGACCTTGGGTTTCTGTCATATGCTTCTGGTTCAGAGGAGTGCTTTGTGTGTGTCTGCCTAGCTAGAAGAAGAAAGCTTTTTGATTTCAAACCACTGGAGAGAGTGTGGTCTGCAAACCAAACTTTTTACCTTGCTGCATTACTCTCCTTGATGGCATATTGATTTACTTTACTCAGCCAAGTTGGGCCAGGCCCAGCTTTCTGCCCAATTACGTGTCTCAGCGTCTTGCACTTTCACATCTTAAGCAGGACTCAGACTTGTTCCTCCATGCTGGGATCAAGCTCTGTAACTGCTCTTCATAATGAGCAAACACGGTACAGATACACCTGGAGGCAAAAACGGCGGGTTCCACCCCAGACATTGAACACCTTCTCGGCAGCGTGTGGGATTTCTACTCCTACAACAGCTTCCTGTTTTCCCATGCGGCATCATGCAAATGAACAGGTCTGGGAACAGAGATGAGTTGAAAGTTTGCTGTATAGGTGCTTGAGTCCTTTTTTCTGCAGAGGTTGTGTTGAAGATGTGCTGGCTAAGGCATCTTGAGCATCTTCTCTCCAGCCATTACGTTTCCTTCAGAAGGTTTCTTTATATAAGAGCAGCAGGTGGTCTTGGTGTTCAGAGTCTGTGCTGATTGCCTAGCCATGGACATTAAGTTGGGGTAAAATTTCAGATCACTTCTTTAAGAAAACCAGTTCAGTCTGGTCCAGTGTTATGGTGATGTTTGCTGAGATGGTTAAGCTGCTCAGAGGATGTGCTTTGAGCTCCTAAGCTGATCTTGCTGGTAACTGTTGCCAAAGGGATTTAACTATCTGAATGGGTCTGGGTGTCCTATGAACGTGAGAATAAGTAAGACAACAGATGCAGGAATGAAAGGAGTTGAGATGAGTGCAGCACCCCCAGTTTCCCTGGCAGGTTTTGGTTTGAGATATTAACCTGGCTCAGTGTCTTCTGAGGTTTAGCATCTCTCTGATGCTGGGAGGGACAGACCTGTCTTGCTCCTGGCCGCTTGCTTCCCATGTGTTGGAAGGTAACTGACTGCCTTGAGCCAACTCAGCCTCACTAACCCTCCAGTAAATGAACTGTTTATAAAACCGAGTTCTCCAACTGTCTTGGCAGATCAGCTTGGCACCAGAGCTGGTTCCGGAGGGGGCAGCGGGGTGTGTCTTTTAGGAGCAAGACTCAGACTGACTGCTGCCCTGTGAAACAGCCACCTGTCCTAACTCCTTCTCCTAGACTGAGGCTTAGTGCTTGACCAATGCCTTTAGACTGCCTCCAAACCTAATAACATCATCACTGATTTAGCTGCACTGTAGGTGAAACTCTAGTGGTGTATTACAAAAGCTGCTTTGACAATCATGCTTTATTTTTGACATAATAGTTACTGTGTTTTTAAGTATCATCTTACAGTACATGTGGCTGTATAATTTACAAATTGCATATTGCTATCCTAGAACAACAAATTTTATATTCAGATACGAATTGACAGTTGTGCTGCTTTGTTAGAGCATGAACTTACAGTGTGAGAAACAATGATGTTTTCCTGATTTCTCTTGCTGGAGGTTGGTCATACAGGATTGTCCTCAGCAGAAGACAACACTTCCAGCAGTTTATTTTCTTATAAATATTACTTGCAGCTTTCATGCAAGTAATAATTATAAGAAAAAAGTTTATTTACTGGCCAATTATCCAATTTTTTAATTCTTGGTCTTTGCTGGAAAATAAAATGAAGAGAAATGCAAAAGGAAAACTAAGTCATTAATGTACTCTTTGCTTCTAGCTTTCCCTTCATTTGATTGTAAATTGTTTGCAGTAAAATTGCAAATTAGTAGCTTGGATAAAGCTCCATAAATTCCTTCAATATCAGATTTAAATGAGGAGGAATTGGGCCTCTAACCTTCATAGAGCATAACTGTAGCTAGACGTATTCCTAGGGGCTAATTCCTCCCTGTCATTTGCTTGAACTCTCAATTGCTCACTGTTTAATGCATAATAGGTGGATGCTGGAAGATGCCTAAGAAGATGCGAGATGGAAACTTAGGCACTCTCATTACTAAACACGGATGTCAGAGGACATGCTGCATCCTGCAGCAGGCTTCTGAACAGAAGTGCCTCTCAAAAACCCACACTGCTTTCCAAGAGTAGTGCAAAATTTATATCCTGAGTTGGCAGAAGGTGAGACAAGGGTTACACTGAAAGTAGGTTTTCTACATTTTGTAATAAGAGCAAGTTGGAATAGCCATCCCTCCTGTAAAAGAAAAATACCACAAGAACTTCACGGTTATTTGTCTCCCTGTGTCTTACCTAGGTACAGGGAAAGTGTCCTACAGTGTAGGTAAGGTAAATTTCGGATTTGTGTGAGGTATTACTACTGTCACTTTATTTATTTTATGACCGAGATAACTTCTTCCTGTTTATCACACAGCTAAAAAAACAATTTTTCCATTCTCAGGCCTGTTGAGCAGTGTTTTTGTTTCACCTGTGTTGTTTTTACCAAAAGCCAAAGTCATAGGAAGTATAACCTTTACAGGCAATAGTCGGAACTTTTAGAGAACAGCCATGGAGAGAGAGAGATCCTTTTATAGAGGGTCTGTTTGATGTTTGGTGGCTATGCCCAGCCTAGAGGAAATGGTCAATGGCTGGAGGTACATCTGCATGTGCTTGTTCCAGCTGGGTGTGTGGGAAGAGGGCACTTCTGTGATGCAGAAAATTTAAGCTCTGATTTGTGTGCATAAATAACTGGATTCAGGTATTAATTAGCTTCATTTGGAGAATTGCAAATTAAAGGAACTCATACCTTCCTGTCAGAACAATTTTGTCTACATTGTGCTGGCTGATAAATCAGATTGCATAAAGGGGATATTGTGTGGGTTTTCCAAGAGCAAATCAGAATATTATAATATTAAACCTGTGTGTTTCTTTTTCTCTCTGGTGTGCTCCTTATGTTTATGGAAGAGTTTCTGCTCCCTTAATGTCAATTTGAACTGCCTTTGTAGGATACGTGGTGACTCTTGTTAGCTGTGTGGGGCATTAGTCTGGTTGTCAGTGGGGAAGGCTTCTTCACCTCAGGCATTCGAGATACAATGCTAGCCACATGTCCCGCTTTGTTGGACTTTGAACGTCTGTCTAATTCTAACTCATTTTCCCTGATCCAATGATCCTTCAGCCTGGAAAGGCTGAGCTGCAACACTCATCTGTTCAAGCTGTGGGGAAGTCGGGTAGTTGTGTTCTGTTTATAAAGCAACAACCAAGAGCAAAATGCTTGACTAGAATGAGCAAAAATAAAAACAGAACCATGAGGCAAATCCTATTTATCTTTCCCACTGGGTAAATGCAGCCGTACAGTCTGTGTGGATGGTATACACAGAGCTGGGGTGGGAATGCATTTACAAGGAGACCTCTCACCGGCAATTGTTAGTAGTATCATTAAGCTGAAATGAAACAAACAAGGAGGTAAAAGATACTGGAATTTGAGTTTTGTTGGTTTGAGTGGTTGTTGTGTGGTTTTTGTTTGGTTGGTTTTACTGCTTTTTGTTCTGCAAAGATGAGAATGTCTTGTCTGTGTCTTTGTTGCTTTGGACAGTTTGTGTGCTTAATAGCTGCTTATCCTTTTGAATTAGGTTACACTGGTTTAACACTATGCGGAAGCCAAGCATCAGAGAAGTGGTGGATGTCCCTGGCCTTTTTTCATTTATATAGAGATTTATTGTGTCACTAGAAGAGTTAAATTTCACCAGTGCCAGTGTAGTATACCTGGTATGCAGTCACCTCATATGCTGGCTCTGCAGCTTTTATTGCTTATGCTGTCAGTGCATATTAAGAATTAGTGAGCAGTGTGCACTAGATTGTTTTAGACGTGGTTTATATTCTGTTCCTAACATACCCTGACAGACCGTGCTATCCCAGCTGTGCTGTGTTGGTAGTACCGGAAGGAATATCGGCCACTGTTGTTAAGTTTGGAACACAGGTTCATTTACAGCCTCAAATTCTTATTTATACTTCTACAGAGCTTTATGAAATAGGCATCTGCTGGGATGACAGCTTCTGTCCAGAGGTGAATCTGTCTAGAGGCTTGTTGCCAAAAGTAAATTCTAAATTCTGCACCGATTTAGCAAACCATGTATCACCCATGTTTTGTAATGAGGAATATTTTCAAACTTGCCTTTTTCTTAAGGAGCAAGAAAATGGGATTTTTAAAGAAAACACTATATTTTTGCAGACAGCAAAAGAGAGAATGCTTCTGCCTGCTTCCTGAATTAGGCAATGGTTTTTGCTCAGTTGTTTATGAAAGTGGTGGTAGACCAGTCTGTGCTTAGAAGGCCTGAACCTAGTCCTGCTAGACCATTTGGATCATCTGTGGGCTGTGGATAGAGTAACGTTAGATCTTTCATTTTCAAGCAGACAATTTATTTTTTTCTGAGTGCTCTGTATTTGTTTCTCATCTGTCTTATGTTTCTCTTGTATATCTTGTATCTATAGAGTGGTGTGAAAAAGGCTCCAGCTCGCCAACAGAGGGAAGAGAGAGAAGCTGGCTATGACAGTTTTAAGTGGAGAAGCCTGCAAATAGGGAAAGATGGGGAGGATTGGAAAAAAAAAGTGAAAAACAGGGGCTGGATTGGTAAAACATGAAAAGAAAAACATAGGGAACAGGACAAAGGAGGAAATGAAACTGAAGGAGAAAGGAAACTGAAGTGTGAGTGTCAAAGAAAAGAGAAAATGAGGGAAGCAAATAGAGGAAAACAGAAAGATTATGTAGTTATCAAGTCTTTTTAAAATATGTAAAACCAGAAATGTTTCAAGATGTGACTATGTATATATAGAAATGAACATGTAGTTTGAGCCTTTTAAAATACAGGCTGTAATCTTGAATTTTTCAACTCAAATTGAAGACCTGTGGCTTAGCGGAGCCATATCCCCTTTAGTTATACTAACAGATGGACACATTAGCGATACCTCACATAGAACATTCCTCTGTCTTACTGCTCCTGTGCCCTGGGTTGTCCCTATTCTGCCATATGGCCAACAGTGATAAATGGTGAGGTCTTAAGAGGTGGTTCCGCTGGTAAATGACTGCGGGTGAACAGGTGAATGGACTGAACAGTTACCTGCTTTTGAAATGTAAAACTGTGTGTGAGACTGAAGGGTGGAAACAAATACCATCGCTTACCATGTTGTTCTGGATGAAACTGGGGTATTTGAAGTGGGGCAGTAGTCAGCAGAATGGTAAAGACAGCATCCTACATGCCTAAAGCATGTGCTAAATAGGCAATAGAAACATCAACAGAAACAATCAAGAAACTTTTCCCCTGGGGCCAACATCATAACACGTTTCTATAAAACTTGTTTGTTTGGGAAAATGTGTATGCTAGTTAATTGAAACATTCCCTCCTGTCAACTGAGAATTGACTGGAGGAACACCAAAGCAGACAAATAGCAGCAAACTGTTTGCAGGCACATTTTTGGAGCCCTGTCTAGTCTACAGCTTTTGAGTTCTTCCTTTTTTACCAAACTATAATGTGAAAATTTCAAATCAGCAATGAAATATATCAAGAAACTTAAAAGCAAATAACAGTTTGAAAAGAGAGGGAAATGTAGTACTCAGATCTTCTGTGTATCAGGGTAAAGGAAACATGTTTTATATTGTTTGTGTGTTTGCAAAGCTGTGCTATTATTAGAAAATAAACCAAGGAGCTCAAAATAAAACTCCTTTTTAGCAACAGTTTTACTGCTCAGTTTACCACACTGATATTTATGGCCAAGTAATCTAAATTTCTCTATTCCTTAGAAACCATCCGTCCTCTTGAAGGTGGGAAGCATCTTCCCACACTGTCAGATTTAAATATTTAATCTAGAGAGTGAACTTGAGTTGAAATGCACCTCCTTTGGCAATGGAAACTGCCTTTGAAGTTTTTGGATCTTCTGCATTCCGTGTTTCCTGTTTTAAATTGAAAGAACAAAGCACTCTGGAATAGTGCACTGTAAGCACCCTGTGAAACCTGCATGTCAGACATCTGGCCAGCTGACATGAGGAGCCAGACAGAAGGAGGAGGTCCAGGGGCATTTCATTCATCTTCCCATCAAGCAACCTGCCTGAGGTAAGAGAAGTTCATGCGACTCAGAGCTAACACCATCAGTCGTATCCTCAATTACAGGGCAGCCAGACTCAAGGGTTCATTAAAGAAAGCTTACTCCTGTGTTTTGTTGGCCAGGATGATGAAATACCCCATACTAGCTCTTTTAGGACTTAAAACTATGATCTCTTGGACAGAAAAATCCCCAAATTCATTTCACCTCTCTTTCCCTTAATTCCATAGGTCATTTCTCATCCAGCTCACATAGGCTTTCCTGTTTTTCATTGTCCGTAGATCATGACTTCTCTCAGCTTCTAGGCAACAAGATTCATGATCCTACTTAAACTGTGAAGCTTCTTAGGATGTGCCTATTTTACAGGCATGAAGAAACCCAAGCTGGATGAAGTTTGTGACATTCAAATCTTCATGTGTGGAAAAAATAAATAATTGAAATCAACTTGAAACTCATTTCATTACACCAGGTCTAGAATATTATTTTCAGTCTAGACTGAGGGTGGAAATAATTTTAGCAATACTGATGATAAATGTGTCATACTGGGCTGAATCATGCCTTCTCATCTTCGTGTACTGCCTTGGAGCAGTAAGTATTAAGACTTGAGGTTGTGCTGTCCCTGTGCAGAAAGTGGCAAAAAGTACAGAAGAGATTCCAGCAGAACAGAGATGCAGAAGACAAATCAGGCAGTTTATCTTTCACCAAAACTATTGCTACCATGTAGGGCTCAACAAAATCGGCTTGTGAGTAGGAATCAGGCAGTAGAAGTTGGATCTAAGCAAGCCAGAGGTGAGGATACAGGAGAGCTGGAGGATGCCTTTGAACAAGTCTCAGTTGTCCTGTACAGCGAGTAGTTTAGAGTCACCGCTAGATTCTTGGGTGCTGCAAGATCTTGAGCAGCAACCTCTGTGATTAATGATTTCTGCCATCTCTAGTTGGTGGGGAGATTCTGTCCTAGCTTAGTTATGATTTTATAGGACTCTTAATGTCCCATCCAGGCTGAGCAATGCAGTGTACATGGGCTTAAAGCCATTAGTCCTTAGGCAGCTGCACTCACAGAATGCTGCAGCATTTCTCCTTGTCAGTGTGTACTCATGGCAGCACAATGCACCATTTCTTTCCTCTGAAGTGCCGCTACAGCTGCTGGGGTGTTTGGCAATCTGAACAGGGAGCAGGAGCCTGTAGTAGCTGCTGACTTTTTGGTGACACCTACTTTGTCAGACTGTCTGTCTCAGAAGGGATCTGGAGCAGCTTTTATGTTAAAATATCTATTGTATTTACAAACCTGCACTGATGCTTGAAGAGGGGTTTGAAAAATTGTATATATCATTTTTAGGTGAAGTTTGAAAAGCCTGGTGTATATCGTATAGGTCATATACTTAATGTATAAACATCGTATACGATCGTAAAAAACGAAACATCATCACACAGCATGTGTATCTGAACGCTGTCAGGGATCAAGGTTATAGATAAAATGGCAGGAGATGTGGAAAAATTCCCACTTTATTAAAGATTCAGTGGTCAGTATGGATATTACCCTTCAAGTAACTAACATTTGTTTGGTCAGAGTGACTCAAGTAATTACTGGCAAGTTTTGTTTGTTTTTAGAATCTGGTTCTTTCACCTACCTAATTACAGAATTCCATTCTTTTTTTGAATGATTCAGGTATTGACTTGCTGGTAGGAAATTTTGGCTAGACTGATACTGAGAGGTATGTATTTCTTTTAAACTGGATTCCGTAAGCCAATCAGAAGAACATGTCCGTAAGCATGCTGAGAGTTTGGCAAAACCTCTATAGTGTTATCGGGCAGGTTCTGTTTTTCTGCTGCTGATAATCTGGATGGGAGCTGGGTGCTGCTTATGAACCAGGAGGCAGGGGTGCTGTGGGATATGGTTTGTTGAAGGTTACACTTGCACTAGCACGAAGTGCTGTGCAGTAGAGACAGAGCTGTAATGCCAGTTTCTTGGTCCTGAGGATCTAATGTCCACCTGCATGTATTTTTGAGGTGTTGGACTAGCTCTGGTTTAGTCCCACATGCTCATGTAGTGGCTCAGGTGCCTGGGGTGTGCTCTTGGAGAGCTGCTTCTGATTTAGTTACACCCCAAAGGAATCCTGTCTCTGGGCTTCAGGGCAGCACTGTGCTCTGTTGGGAGAGCTGCTGATCTGAACTACAAATTGGAAAGGACATAGCTGGTCTTTCTGAGTAACTAAATTGAGACCATAGGAATGGGCTGTTGGAGGCAGTGGCAACACTAGCTCTTACTTACTGTTAGCTAAAATCAAGGTCCAGTAAGAATAATACCTATTAAAAATTTTTGTTTAATGTTGTTCACTTGGCTTCAGATACAGGAGAAAATAAGGAAGCTCTTTCTGCTTTCTGGGGCTAAATCAAGAATTAAAAAGGGAATCCATGTTAAAATAAGAAGCTAAGATGCCAGAAACACTACTGCAATTATCTCTCTGGGATAGCTGTGGATATTTTGACATAGCTTACCATAACTAAGCCATTAGATGCAAGTGCCTGTGTATTGAAAGCATAAAGCAGTTACTCTTCTACTAGCATTATTGAATGTTTTTATTTAAAACACCACCACCCACCTTAAAATCCAAATCTAATTAATTACACAAAAGGAAGATGCTTCCTGAACAGTCATGGTTGGAGCATGCGCTGCCAAACCAGACTTCATATGAAGTGAACTGTGTTAGGGTGAGTGCTTCAACATAAAGCGGGTAATAAGGAGATGGTAAAGCAAAAGTGCTTCAACAGCTTCTTACACACAATGTGTTTGCTACAGGCCCATTTTTGAAATGTCGTTACTTAAACAAATGAACAAATTTGTGCTTATTGAGCTATGTTGTTGAGATGTCCCATCAGCAACATCAAATCCTACAAACCTAACCAGATTTCTCACAAAACAGAAGTCTGCAGAGTGCCACACAATTAACTTTGTGAAGTTATTTTACTGAAGGGGAAAAAAAGACTCAAAAATTACTTTTCTAAAAGTACCGTGTTGGGCTTTGTATTTAGTCTGGCGTATCTACATTTTGCAGCCACCGTTTTTTTCTAACCTAAATCTGGGGTGAAGGAAGCTATAAACGCTGTTTGCTTAGCAGGTTCAAGTTATTCTGCATGAATGTGAACTTAAGATAGTGTTGGAACTATACTAACAATGGGAAAACTTCGCAATTCTGGTTAAGCACATTTTGCTCCTGGTCATACTGGCTGCTTAAACACACCTTGAACTAATGTGGATTTGTAAAGTTTTCCTTTTCTGTCATTTTTCTCTTCTGCCCCGATTTGTATTCCTGCCCTCCAGCACAGTGTTACTCAGAAATCTCTCCTTCTCCTGCAGTGTCAGGCCAGCGCCTTAGCTCTTTGAATACATGTTGTTGCAATTTCTCCAAATCATGAAAGAGAATTATATAATCTTAAAAGCTATGGCTCTGCTCTCTGCGTTCAATTATTCATAGTTTTACCATTGTATTTCCATCCCCTCTCACCAGAAGTTCAGTGCAGCCTGACGTACCTTCTGTCATCCAGCGGGCCGAGTCCTGGCCCACATTCTCAGCAGAACAATGTGAAGTCCTGGCAATCCTTCACTGTCATTTTAGGAGAGGATTAGTTCTTGCATTGTTTTCATATAAATACTGAGATGATCATAGCTTTTGTCAGTGACTGCTGCATTTTTTTCTCCTTAAACGCCAGTTCAGTGAACAGATTTTTACAATTTGTAGCTCCTCAGTCATCCTCTACGGCTTTTTAATCTCTAGGGCCAGATGGAAGCGTCATCCTTCAGCATCGCTCGTTTTGCGTAACACTGGGATTGGAACTACATTTGAATAGCACATAGTCATAGATGTGTAAGTGTGTAAATATTTGGCTTTTCCATCCATGTATTTTCTCTTCTAATGTTTTGGTTTGGTTTTCTTCAATGCAAGTTTTCTACAGGGAAAACTGTGACAAACAAGTAAATGTTCTGCCCTAACAGAATAGTCTTACACAGGAAAAAATGATGATTTTGGTCAAGGAGATTTGAGAGAGAAAATGACACTCAAGTGGTAAGTTTCTAAGACAGCTGATGACTTGACTTACCTTGGTTTCAGGGCACTGATAACACTGCTGTTGGACTGATCTGGAATGATGTGGGGGTGGTTTTTTTTCTTCTTCAGAAGCTTTATTTTAAGCTCTCCTACAATCCTAACTTTGATTTTTAGTTGTATTTATGGATTTGTTCTCTGCTGTCAGACTGCAATCAATTGATTGAAATCCATAAATAATAAACATCAAGTTTCAATTTAATGCAGTAACAAGATGCTATCGGAAGAAGTTTTGCGTACTTGAACAGCTTTTTATAGCCAAATCCTGACACGTTCTTAGTGATAGGAAGCTAATGGCTTTCCCGCATGTTTGTGAAGCCCATGTGACAAATCCTATACGGTAACTGAAGGAGAGGACATTCGTGCACCTGTTTGTGGAAGGGTTACATAAAAAGTCCTGCGACATATTTCAGCATCTACCAGTAAGCTGAGCAACTTGACCTGCTTTACCCTTTGTAGGAGAGATGATATTGAATTAACAACTGGGGGAATGGAAGGGGGGGGAAAAAAAGACATACTAACATGAAAAAACACATTTTATTGCACTTAAGTTATAAGAAAATAAAATTTCTAAGTGAATCAAACCATAGACACAATCCCTTTAAAGGTTGTTTTCCTCCATCATGTCAAGTTGTTACATAACTAAAATTAACCAACTGGAATCTGATTGTTTTAAATCAGACTATAAATAAAACAAAAACAAAACAAAAAAAAAGGAGGAAAAAAAGATCGCCTAGGATACAGTGTTAAACCACTTTCACAGTTCAGCTTGAGTTGTGGCTCTTGGAGAATGAGGCAAACCATTTGACTCTTTCGTTTCTCATCTTGTTTGCATGTGACATCTTTACAAAAACACGAAGTTTTTGCTCTGTCAGTTCCTCCCAGCAATAACTGTAACAATTGTTTCTTTTTTTCTCAAATACTGTAAAACACTAAGACTGACCAGCAACTTTATTTCCATTTTTGTATTTTATCATATTTTTTAAAAATTTTGTCTTTTTTTTTAATGTATGTTCATTCCATTCACCACAGCCCTCACAAAGAAAAATTTCCCCACAGAACAGGCTGCAATAGCTTTGTTCTAAGGAATGTGTTTTAATTTTTGCCCAGAAAAAAGAAAATAAGCTTTGCACACACACTCAATTCTTTATTTGCAGGCAAACTTCACTCTTAATTGTCTGAAACTCTTCCACTCTCAGCCTCTTAGAGGCACAGTTGGCTCAAGTTTCAGTGGCAAAAAGTCTTTTTCTGTAACCAAACTAGAGCAAATTTGGAATTCAGTCTGGGACTAAAACGTCACAGCAGAAACAAAAATAAAAAAAAATAATTTGCTTTTCTTTCTTTCATTTAGCAGCATAAATAAGTTTGGCCACTGGGAATACAGTACAGGGGTGGGACAACAATCCCGTAATTGAAGACCTACTTCTAGCACCAGCATTGCGAATTAAATCCATCAGAGGACTCTCAAAACCCAGGACAACTTGCCACCTCAGAGCAACTTATGCGTTGAAGAGTGTAGATGGAAGCAACAGTAAATAGATTAAACAGAGGCTAATACTGTGATTGACATTGGCAATGGTTGGCAAAATAAGGAAAAAAAAAAAAGAGGAATCAAAGGAAAAAAAAGAAAAAGCTCTGATAAAACTGTACAAAACAATTCACAGTAATATTTTAGCTTTTCCACACCAGGAATGGACTCTTTGTTTTTGTTTTGTTTCACTGCAGATGCTCTCTAGTTTCTGAAAGTCAACCAGTGACTGCTCATAGAGGTTGGAAGGGACCTCTGGAGGTTGTCCGGTCCAACCCTCTGCTCAGAGTGGGGCTAAAGGACAGCATGTTGCTCAGAGGGGCTGCCGGGACCCAGGGTGGCCCAGGGGTGCACGAGCAGGCTTGCCTGTGCAGCTTCTTTTGAGATCTTTGTGGTAAAATAACCTTTTAACAAGAACTGTAACAATATTTTTTTTTCACCTCCAAACTGCTCAAGGAGCAGACGGAGGAAAGTAAAGAAATAATTGCACCTGGTTTCGTTTCAAAAGTCGCATTTTTGCAAAGCTGCCCCGGTCAGAAGTGTAGCCTTTTTATGTGACGAGACAGCAAATGCCTCTCTTGTCAGTTAGAGTTTGTCATCTTTGTCTTCTCCTTCGTAGTCTGTAGGTCTTTAGGATCTGCTGCCCCAAGGCAACATCCTGCACCACCAAGGACAAGGGATTTTTTTTTCTTTTTTTTTTTCTTTTTTCCTTTTTTTTTTTTTTTTTTTTCCCAGGGGGAGGGACAGGAGAACATCGTCTGCACGTTTGGACAAATTCATCTTTCTGCCCTTCACTTCATATCCACGTCAAAGTCCAACACCAGCAGCTTTGTTTCCTCAGTCCCATTGCGGCTCCCAACCGCACACACCAGCTTTGTGTTAGAAGCTCTGATCCGCCACACGACGCCTCCACTTCCCCCGCTCTCCAATGTGACTAGATTTCGGATAAATTCACCCGTTTTCAAGTCCCAAAGTTTTACAGTCCCATCATCTGAGCTGGTAATTACAAAGTTCTTGTTGAACTGTAAACAGGTCACAGCACTCTGATGCTTGTTGGGACCTGTAACGGTAAACCAAAACATTTTCATGTATAATTAGAAAGCAAAGTCAGACAGCACTGCCTATAGAATAAATACCTAACTATTTGCATACAGCTGTTTCTATCTATTAGATGTGTTAACTCAATTTTTGTGCTTTTAGAGGTACAGAAGCCTTGCCATGCTTTAAATAAGTGAATGCAGGTATAGAAAAGTCCCCCAGGATTTCCTTCTTTGTTACAGTGATCTCATTTTCTTGTGTACAAGCAGGAGGACAAGTGTGCACTTGGATGATGATGAAAATGAACTTAACCATCCAGAATGAGGTGACTGCTGTAAGCGTTTGTCTCCAAGTCGCTCTGAAGTGTTACTATGAGATTATCACTAAATATTGACAGTTATATATTGACATATAAATATAGACTGTTAAATCAGCAGAATCTGCTTTACAGGGAAATTTAATTCTCTGTTCCAACCAGCAATGCTGCATATGGTATATGGGGATGATATAAGGACCTTTTTTGTGGGGAGGAACAAACCAATGTGTTCATGTACACGATGCCTGAGTGGCAACTGTCAAAACAGCAACAACAATCTTTCTTCTTTACTGAAATAAAGAAAACATCTTCCACTCATTTGATTTATTGCAACAGACAGTGTACTTTGCCTCCCGATCCAATTAATCAGTGAGCTTTGAAAAATCCAAGTGACCCCTATATAAATACGTTGACTGTTTTGAGATGTCACTTCCTACATATTTCTGTGGCTTATTAGGCTAATACACCCATAGCAAATTGCTATCAGTCCAGACCATCTGCCTTTCATAATAGGCAAGTGATCTGAATAGATTAAATTAAATACATTTTGTTCTTCTAATTCAGAGAAAGATCATACTGCTGTCATCAGAAAAATATTTAAGATGTAAGTGGTCTGTGCTTGTTTATCTGTATGTAATTATTTTCAAGTTGTTTGTTTTTTTCATAGAGAATCTGCAGCATAGATTACTGCGGACAGCTTGACTGACATGAAGGTAGTTTAGGCTCACCTTGCAATGTCTGTAAACATTGTCCTGTTTTAATGTCCCAGATTTTGACTGTAGAATCAGCATTCCCAGACACGAGTATATTGTCCTTGAGTTCCATTCCACTTGTGAGAGACTGGTGGCCTGTTAGTGTGTGAATGCAGTTGCCTGTCTCCACATCCCAAACTCGGATGGAAGTATCAAGAGATCCACTCACCACATGGATACCATCAAACTACAAGAAAGGTAAATCTATTACAAACAATTACATTAGGATCTTATAAAGAAGATTATTAAGCATTTAACTCACTAAGTGCAACATTAGATACTATATATACACCATGGCAACTGCATGATAATGTAAGAATTCAGTCTAAGTAGAGATGGCCGTTTGGTATCAGAGCAGGTGATTAATGGTCAGCGTGATTTCCTGTAACAGACGTGGGCTATTGCGGTACCCAGTTCGAGGAGAAAAAGACTCTGAACCACTGGTCTTTTAGCGGTAATACAACTCCTTTAAGCACAACAGAATCCTGACTGTACTACAGCATACAACAGTTAAGAGAATGTAGTTTTCCTAATAAAAATATTAACAAGCCAAAACTGCTTTCTGCGAATCAGAGGGACTTCAAGCTGGAGAAGGGCAAAAGCATTAATGCAGAATCATCTACAGAAAAAGAGCAGCATAGGAAAGTAGAAGGAATATAATTGAAAAATGCTGAGTTTAGCCATTTTATAATCATCATTGTGTGCAGTAACAAACTTTAACTTCCAAGTCATTGTAAGGAAAGGCAAACAGGCTAACGTGGGTGTCCAAATTCTTGGATTTTTCTGAGCATACAGTATATATAAAATAATGTAGAATGTGAACTTGTAGAGAAATCGGCTAACAGATGAGACACTTTCGACCAAGAGGACTGAACATGCAGAGAATACAAAGGTGGAAAGTAACTTGAGTGATTGTGACAATAAGATAAGAGTCCAGAATTCTCAAAGAAGGAAAAGAGCAGTAGAATAAAACCAGTGGGCTTCAAGGAGGAATACTTCAATAAATCGAGACTTCCTTCCCATAAGGTTTTTATCTATGTATTCTCTGAGGGGAAGAAGAGTTCAGGAGAGTTGGCACTTCTTAAAGACACAAACTATCCTTGTGTGAAGGGAAGATAGGAAGCGTAGTAAATTACCAAGACCCACTTGGCTAAAGCACAAGGAATTGTACGAAAAAGTAGAAAGCAGATCAATAGATGTGTTTAAAAGAGCGCACTGGGACAAAATCAGAAAGGCAGGGCATAAAACAAGATAAAACTAGCAAAAGCTGCTTTACTATTCTGTAAAAAAAAACCCAAACCAAAACCAAACAAGAGGACAGCCAAAATAAAAAATAGCTCACTTATGCTCAGTGGGAAGGAAACAGCACGTGAGGCCAGCTACTTTGACTTGTTTTTTGCTTCAGTCCTCAGCCATCTGAGTGTAGGCTCACAGCCTTGACACCACTGACAACTGAGTACAAGCTTTTGCTAGAATGGGGAAAAAAAATCCACATAAGGCAAGTTGTTTTAAGACAATCTCAGAGACATCTGCTGCTATCTTTGAGAACCCATGGAAAACAGACAAGTTTCAGATAGCAAATACAGTTCCTTTCTTTATTGAAGGAGATGATGATGGGAGATGGGGAATTATGGATCGGTCAGACTAAGCTCAATTTTCACAAGGAACTAACAAATTGATCTGGTTGCAAGCCCTTAGCAATGCAGTAAGTAGCAGCAAACACAGATTTGTGGGGAAATGATCTTAACCAGTATGATTTTTTTTTTCCTGTGACAGAGTAAAAAAGCCATGTGAAATGGCTGATGTCTTGGTTGCGTTTTCAGAAAGAGGCAGGCAGATCTGAGGCAGGGATACTATCCTGCTCAGAACTTTGTCCACAGCATTATTAGAGATATCAGAAAGAGTTGCAGGTGGGGTCTGGCATTTGGTATTTTCATTAGGATTTGGGTGACATTTGAAAGAGTAGAACTGACCCAAAGCAAAGAGTGTAAAAGTCAAGAGAAAACTGTGAGGATTTCAGCTTGGCAGGGAATGAATGTACAGCTGCAGCCTGGGAGAATGGAGGCTGGGCAGGAGCCTTTGTTGTAGCAAGGGCAATCTGACACGACTTGGCCATGTGGACTGGCTGGTATCTAATAATGGCAAAGAAAGAACCCAATTAAGGGAACTCAACTATCTGAGACTGCTTCTTTTTATAAGACCTGCAGAAGACTCCCATCTCGGACCTCTACAGTCAAAAATGGTTGAGCATGGCACCAGGGTTCCAAAGAATGCAGAGAGCAACTGGCACACACAGACTGCTTATCTGCTGCATGCACTGCATTTCTGGTGAAAATAAACTAAAAAAAAAAAAAAGACACTTTCGTATCTGAAAGAGGGGTATGCTATGTAAGGCACATAACGTAAGTTTTCACTTCTAGTAAGCATTGGTAAGACTTTGGCTGGAATTTTGCATCCTGTTTTGGGTACTCTGCTTTCAAAAGAGGATGCACACTAATCTGAGTTCAGATAAAAGGATGAGGAGTGTTAAGCAGCAGAGCAGACTTGCTGGGTGGAAACACTAGAGAATGTTCTTCTCCCCTAAATGGAACTAAACCAGGTTTATGTAAAATTCTGAATTCTTTCCCCTTTCCCTGCAAATTAATTGTATTCCATGTATGGTATTCATTTCTATTGCATGTAAGGTAATCAGAAAAGAGCTTTAAGGCTGGGCATCAAGACAAACTTTACCTGATACTACCACAGTCAAACACAGAACTGTTTGGATCAGTGGTTGAGCTGTATCTATGAACCCAGAGAGTCTGGGGGTTACTTCAAAGTCAGCTAAGGAAGAGTAAGAAAACACAATGTGGTCAGCAGTCTTCAACCTCTGTGCAAGGACCTCTGGAAAATGGTAAGGGGTGTACAACTGGGGAAATACTGAGGTGTAACAGAACCTGCCATTGCACAGGGCCAGGGAGGACAGGCTGGTTATTCAGCCTGATCATTCTATTTATGGCAGTTCTGATGTTTGGGGCTATTCAGGCTAAAGGGCAGGGGCTCACCATGCAATTTTAAAGTCTTTCTGTCCTTAAAACTGAAAGTACCTGCAGCCTCTTGCCCCTCCCCAGTTTGTTTCAGAATGCCATGCGTGCATAGCATGACTGTGTAACGTAACCCAATTATTTGATCCATTATTGCCAGTGTATCAGAGCAAGATATGAATATTCATAAGGCAAAACAAGAGCCACTGGTGAAGATAAGGCAGAATAACATAAATGTTCCCAACTGCCCTAGCTGAAACACAACCCTCGGAATATTTTGGAGATAGGTAGGTCATACAGCATTTTTAACATGCTCGCTGCTTGTCTACAGAGTACTCCTCAGCATATGAATGTAAGAGAATTGCTGGAGATGTTTGATAAATTTTACTACGTATTTACAGAAAGGAAACCAATTATGTATTTTGTTCATATTTTATCTATGATGGCGAGATACACCTTATGAAAGACAAACTTTATGAAAAATGTCTCCAGCACCAAGCTTCACTTTCTGAGCCACAGACCAGTTACATGCTGAATGCGATTTCCCCATTTTGAACTGTCTTTGTTAATTTGTTTTTCAAGTCCTGCCAGATTGTGGTGAGAACAGGCACAAGCATGAAATTAATTTCTTTCGCCTTTCAACGCCTGGAAGTGATGCTCTGACTCTATGAATGAGCAAGACTCTTTTGGGTTAGTAAAGGTAAGGAAAGTCTACATGAGGGCTCTGTGCATCTTTGCCAGCTTTGTTCTGATGAGCAGTCTGGGTGAGCGGAAGGCAATAGAGCCATGCCACAGAGCACTACCACAATAACCTGCATCTACAGTAACATGTCGCTGTTGACAAAGCCTCACAGTTGTAGATCTGGCCTCTACTCAGAGAAGAGGAAGTAGAAGGCTGGAGATTTACACTGGAACATTAAAATTTTAGGTTCAGTCTTTCTGTGAATTACAGTTTAGAACTGCAATATGGGACTACAAAATAAGGATAAGCGGATCTGCATAATTCAGAACATTAATCCAATGAGGTTTTTGGCACATTTTCAATTACTGTATCATCTGATTTATTTAAAACAGTAAGTTTTGAATTTCTTTGGGGAAAGCAAAAACATAGCTCCAAAACACATGCAAGATTAAAAAAAAATACCCAACCAAACAACCCAGCAACCACAAAACTGTTTCATTTGCTGGTATAGAGATTTGGGCTTTATTGTACTGGGTGCTTTAGATAGTACTTTTCTAAAAAAAGTATGTCTGTTTCTAAATAAAGACAACATATAACCAGTGTAACAAAATGAAAGAGGGCACTATCGCAGATGCCTCTGTGTTCCTGTGGCCGGTGTCATTCTGGAGTAGGTACCCACAACTTAATAAACAAGGTGAAATAAACTGACTTCAAATGTTACTTAAGGAAACTAAAGCAGCAGATGAAAATCACATACCTGTAATGAGTAGACTCTGTTAGTATGCCCTTGCAGTGTGTGCAGACAGGTCTCTGTCTCTGGATCCCACACTTTGACCATAAAATCATATGCACCACTTACAACCCTTCTGCCATCATACTGAACGCACCGAACTGCAGCTACGTGGCCCATCAGAACGTGTAAACACTGGCCCGTCTCTATGTCCCAGACTCTCAGGGTAGCATCTCGAGACCCACTGACCACTCTGGAGGAACAAGAAAACCCCTTCTGTACTTAGCGTTGGACATAGAAGTATTACAATAAATCAGTTACACGTTTTATTTTGAGACATGAGATAGCATTAGTCCACTACCCACCAAAGATCCAGTCTGGCATTTTACTAGGGTCAAAAATTACTTCACTGTTTTTCCTTCTGTGCTTTACTCACCTCCTCAGGATCTATTTGATATAATTAGCAACCAGTATTTAAAAAGGCATTTAATTCCTGAACAGCAAAATGATGATGCCATGAGAAATTATGTGGGCTCTTGTATCTGTCTATGAAAGCTTATGAATATGCTGAGCTCCAGTCAGTGCTAGGAGCATTCTGTTTTAATGACTAAGTTAACTAATTATAACAATGAAACAAAGATCTTTAGAAGTTTTAGTAAAGTAACAGTTATTCTGCTTGATTCTTTTCAGTTTAAACTTTTTAAGGCTTTTTTAGGCAAGTACAGAAATGAGAAGGAATTAATATTAATGGAACTGATAAAGATAAAACCTCATCGTTCTTTGAAAAAGAAGGAAAGCAACCAACAGGCACTCTGTCAGCAGCTCCGTAGCACAGCCAGGTAAAGGAGCTTTGCCAGCATTTGTTGTGTGGATCAAGACATGGTTTACCATGGGAGGAATTATGATATAATCAGCTAAAAGGTACAGAAAAGACTGCAGTGCCGATACTTAAACAGTCACTCTGCAAGATGAGTACAAGTTTGTGGCACTGACAAAAAAGAAGAAATTATTTAGAGCGTGGGAGACTGGATCACAGCGTAACAAAGAACTAGTTTTGAAATAAGGCAGAATGTGACTTTATAAAGTACATGACTCAATTTCTGTTCTTTAATTAGCACTCTTGTGCTTTTGCTTCTATTAATCATCTCCTCCCTTGTGTTGATTTATGTAGTTTAGTTTGAATGGTTCACCTGGTTTGTATTTCACCCCATCTTGGATGAGCTACCCAAGTTTAACAATCATTTGCTGTGAGCACAAGTGTAAATTATATGCTGAACAGTGACTGTAGCGTTGGACAAGCCTCACCTTTTCTCATGAAGATGCATGCAGCGCACAGTGGAGGTGTGTCCGTATAAGGTGTGTATGCATTCTCCAGTCTCAGCATTCCAGACTTTCAGCGTTCGGTCTGTAGATCCACTGATGATGATATTGTCCCTCATCTGTGATGACCAGACTCCGCCTGTGTGCCCAACCAGCGTTCTCAAACACTGAAAAGAGGTATTTTGCTTAGTTACCCTTTTGACAGAGTTGAATGGAAACTTAAGAAAAAGCGATCTAGGAGGTAACAGCGGTCTCTCACAGCAAGAGCCAGAAGAACCCCTGGAGACTGCTTTGTGATTGAACAAAAAAAATCCTACCTTTTATAAATACTCATCAAATTTCTCTCTGTGTTGTCAGTACTTCAACTAGAAGGAATTTTCCCTATAATTTTCCCCTTGATAAACTAAATTGTCTTCCCAAATTTCTCAACACAGGGAATGTTTTACAGCCTTGAGTCATTTTCCTGACATTTTTCTGAGTCACTGCAGGTTTTCTAATAGCTTTTTGAAGCGTAAGTGTTACAACTGAAGAGAGCATTCACCTTGTAGTTTTACCACCCATCCATAAACCATATACTCTTACTGTATTTTTCTGTTTATCTGAGAAACATGGCATTCTATAACCCTTAGCTGCAGCATCAATACCGCAAAGTCCTGTTTCAAACCTTTTTCAGACTTTACCGTTGGCCTGGAGAGAATCCCACATGACTTGAGCACAGCCTACCTTCTCTGATCCCAAATGTATGACATGATTTCTCACCATGCACAGACAGTGTTTGCTCACACCTACTTCTAGAAAACCTCCGTCACTCTGGAGCAATGACTTGTCTCCATGTCTCAGCCTGTATTGCTCACAAGTAATGACTCTATATGCTTTCGCACCAGGCTGCAATAAGTGCTAATTAGCACAGACAAGAAGAGATCCTTGCAAGACCCCTCTAGAAAGATACTCCATGAAGATTCTGCATTTAAATTAACAACATGAGCTCTATAATTACTCACTTTCTAACCCACTTAAGTATGTACCATGCTGATTTTTGCATTGTTCTATTTTCTTCAATCTGTCATGGGGATACAGTCTTGCAGTGCACATAGCCCTCTACTGCTGCACTATGATTTTTATCAGTCAAACCTGTAACTGCATGAGAAAAGAGGTCAAGACAGTTTGATGATCTCTTTTTCTGTAATCTAATGCTAAGTGGTATTAATTGCTGTGGCCTCCCTTTAACTGTTAGTTGACTCCTCTTGACGTAGTCCAGTATATTTTTATCTGAGATAATGTATCCTAAATACCCCGTCTTTCAGTTATTGACATATTTCAGCTTTCTGCCATCCTTTGGATCTTCTCCTCGTGCTTGCACCTTCTGAAAAAACACCTATTTTGCCCCACAAGTAACTTCAGAAAAAGAAATTACGGAATTCAAACTGTCTGGATCAACTGTGCTATGCAAAACTGTAACTGGTAGTTGCTGCTTAACATCCTTGTCAGTTCGTGCTGAAATGAAGTGTTCTATTATCATTGCATGCTGTATTTCCATCACATGAATCTTCTCCCAAAATATTTTTCTGCACCAGTGATAGTATACTAATTTCTGTTGTTAATATCCTGTTCTAACATCCTTGAAAATGCCTTACTCTTTTGCTATACATAGATTTCCTGTTCCTTAACATTTTTTTACCAGTCTTCTGCAATTCCTGGCTCTAGCTTAATTCACTGCTATCAAATCCATCTTGCTCAGTTCATAGCTGTTATTCACTTTTACAGCTCCTGGATTTTTTTTAAATCTCAGCCGATTTGCTCATATTTTAAGAAATCATCCTTCAGCAAGAACACAGAATCCTTATTTTGGGTTTTACATCTGTCAAGGGAATTATTTAGTCATGTTCATTTGCACAAACCAACCTTTAGGGTTTTTTATTTTATTAATTCTTCAGCCTCAGTAAGCATGAGGGCTGATACAGCATTCTTCCATCCTTCATATACAACCTCTGGCTCTCTTAAAAGTTTAGGGTAAATGCTCACACCACGATTTGTAATTACTTTCAAAAACTTACTGAACAGGAATTGTGAAGTCATGCTACTATGATCAGTGTGTGATATATTTAAAGGAACGTTTTGCTTTTGAGAGGGTGGTATGTACAAAAGAAGTATTTTTCAGTTGGGTTTAAGCTGCCTTTTTCAATTAAAAAATGTAAATTTCAATATGGGCTCCTTCATTAGACAAGTTTGTTGTAGAGAAGCCAGCAGAGGCAGGGTGAGGCTGCCCATGGCTTTTAATTTTATTCTTCCCCACAGTAGTATTTACAGTCCTATCAAGGATCTTCTAGGCATGCAAAGACAAGTGCTTAACACGTTCAGCTTCCAACATTATAAAGTGGATACCTTTTACGTCTTAAACATGTTATATCCTCAACAGCTTTCCTGTTGTTCACGTAACTATAGCATTAAAACAAAGCTAAGTACATACAATACTAGTCCAGAAAGAAAAAAGCACTCTTTCCCAGAGGCCTTTTCTGTATCTTTGGAGCACAGTCAGCCAGTAACCTTAAACCAAAAATTCTGTGTGCTGAGTAGCTGGCTGCGATGTTCTAACACGAGTGAAATGTTCAGTACTGTCTTTTTGATTGCACACATTGTTTTGCTTCCCTGAGCCAAAATTAAATTATTGAAGCTTATTAAATTCCTGCCTGAGCTGGATCTAATTTAATAGGAAATATTTAAACCTAAAGCAAGTTACTATTTTTTTTGGTGGCTCAGCAATATAGTAGCTTAGAAAGAAAAAAAACAAACTCTGTGTTTGAAATCAGAGCCAGTAAGGTGAACACACCATTTCAGTCACTTGAAAACAACAGAAAGAATGCTGGAAGACAAGTGAGAAAGGGAGATCTGGAAGGGGAAAAGCAAGCTAAATTAAGCTTTAAGGGAGATGAAGTAACGTATCTGTCGGAATTCTTTAGAATCCATGTCACAAACGACTCGGCAAGAATAGCAGAATTGCCAGGAGAACAAGGATCTATGCCAACAGTAACATGAGCAGCATTGCAATTTCACATCAAGGTGACTTTTTTCAAACTAGACTAGTTTCCGTGTAGGAAAAGATGACCCAAATGTTTACCGGTGCTTTTTCCAATCCTTGCACCAGACAGTGCTGAAGACCACCCTTGGAACACGCTCTGATGGCAGAGCAGCAGAGTTTTGCCATACCAGTGCTCTACCTGTAGCTCATTTCCTGAGGAATTCAGCAAAATAACCGGCTTACCTTGCCTGTGACCGCTGACCACACTTTCAGCGTGTTGTCGTCAGAACCGCTCACTATTCGGTTCCCGCAGAACTGAAGGCATGTGATCACGTGGTCATCATGGCCTTTGAGCACCTGATGATAAAGAACATGAAATATACAGTCACAACTTAACACAGGAGATTAGAAAGAGCAGGAGGAACAAACTGCTCTTCCCATTCATGAATTATAAAAGGCTAGAGTTGCTTCAGTAA